GTCGATGAACCTCAGGCCGTTCAGGCTGTTCAGGTTACCGATGACCTTCGCGATGGCCTGCATGATCAAGTGAGAGTCGTACCCTTTCAAGTTGTGGAAGACCAAGGGGATCTGGATGGTTTTAGGGTTGATTCTGAGCTTGAGGTTGCACGCGTTGTGGGCTGCGCCTCTGTACTCACCGGTGATGTGACAGTGATCTCTCACTGAATCACCGTCCAGGGATGAGTCACATACGTGGCATACGTGACTGCTATCTAGGGTCATATGCATGGGAGCGATGGTACGTAGCCTTTTCCTGATGGTTTTCTCTTCGTGCTGCAAGCACTTTAGAAACTTTTCAGCCTCTGTACACCACGGGAGCGTTTGTTTGCCCATCACACCGGACGACCACGTACCTGAACCCACAGGCCTTGTGATCCTGTGTTTTGCACGTGAAACTTTCATCGGATGGCGCTATGGTAATGTCAACGTGCTTGATGAGGGCTTCGAAGTCGACGTAGATGATGTAAGTTACGGGCATCTGGTTCTTGTGGTTGTCGAATTTTAAGGTGTTGTCGCCTTCTTTAGGAATGTCGATTCGTATGGCTGTCATTCCCACACCTAGGCAATCCTCCTGATGTGATTCCAGCAGGTCATCCCTGGTGAAGCCGTGCAGGCACCGTTCACAGAAGCGTTTTTGAGCGTCCCAGTTGAGCCCGTCCTCTTCAGGATAGCTGGAGAGTCTGTCTGAATGTACGTTGGCCGGATACAAGGCGGATCTGATCGCTACACTCATTCAATCATCTCCTTTGTTTTTGACATTGATCATAGCATGTTATCGCTTGTTGTAGGGGAATAAGTCCAGATACGATCCACCTCTGAATGGTACGTAGTTAGCTATGTCTAGGTAGACCTTATCGATTTTATCCACTGCCCACCCGGAACCCCTGTGCATGTAGCATTCCAGGTATTCTCGTATTTGCTGAAGCGACGTGTTGATGGACTCGTCTATCGTCTCGGGTTGAGTCTCGACTTCTTGTTTACCCCTGAAGTAAGGCTTAACATACTCAATGGACCAATCCGCTTGCTGTTTATCGAGTGACATTTTCACCGTGATCTGAAATTTGAGGCTCCCCAGGTCGGTCAGTTCCTCGTTGACTTTGTCAGTGATCTGGGGTTTGATGTCGTCGATATCTATATTCTGGTATTCATTGTGTCTACATCTGAGTATAGCAATCTCTAATTGGACCACTGGCTAGGGAAGGGAGGTAACCCTTCAAACCTTATCTTAATAAAAAAATAAAGGAGGTGACCATAAAATCCTTAATATATATTTAGATAGACCTCATCTATTATACACTCAGCCCACCCGGAACAGGTGCAGAGTAGTAGGGTTTCTTGTATGTTTTGCAACGAGGCATCGTCATGATTGAAAATGCGAAGCACTCCAGCTTATAGAGTTTGCCAACAATCAGAGGTTTGAGGACACCGATATCTATACTTTTACATACATCCATCTGCCAGCTTCTCAGACAACAACTTTCCGTGGGTTCAACTTTCACGAACTGTAGACTATTCATTATATATACCTAGGTACACAACTGATGTTGCATGAAGCCGTACCCCACGCTCAACCGGGTCGACTTACTGATGCCTTGGTACACGTCGTTAACACGTTCGCCCTTGCTTTTCCAGAGGTCCCCATAGCAGTGAATCACTGTCGTCGATGCTCAGCACCTTGTTGCCGCTGATTTTGATGGTGGTCTTCTTGACGATAGCACGGCCGACGTTCCACACCAGCTCGCGTTTTGTCGTTGTCGGAGGTCAATGTGAGGTTGAACGCCAATCAGACCATGCCGGGTATGATGAGGCCATTCTCACCCAGGTTGGAGAAACGGAGAAGTACAACGACTGCAAAACCGAGTCGTTTTCGTCGCGGCAATACAAGAAGTTAACTCGGGGCACCATCCCAGAGTTGGTAATATCAATTTTAGATATAAAGCATAATCCTGTGAATATAGGATACCTAAGCGTGAGGCTGCACATAAAATGAATAGTGCACAAGGACCCGGGACAGCTATGAGGTTGAAAAAATGCGTCAATGTAGGAATCTACGACCTTGGGGACACACGCGGATTCGACGACCCCGGAATAGAGGGTAGACTGTACGCCTTGCAGCTTAAAAACAACACATACAAACGCGTTGAAGTCCCCTCTGTCAGTGGTGGTAGAAACCTAGGTGATATAGTCGATACCTCAGGAGCGGCCCTCAACACTCAGTTCGACCTAGTCTGCATCGGTGAGGATAGATGGTCGGTATACCAATCATTCGGCAGCAAACTGTTCGGCCTAGAAGATGTTGAGAGCACAAGCAGTATGCCCTCCTTTTCACTGACGACGACAAATGGATGTTGTTACCCTCTCAAGTCGACTGGTTTCTCAACATCACGCTCGGCTCCCCCTACGTGTTCACGGAGAACAAAGACAACTACTAAAACAAAGTCGTGAACAACCGAACCCTGCTCGTCCCGACGCAGAGGCATAGTGTAATCATCAGCCCAGTCTCGAGTGCTACAGCCCACATGCTATTGAGGAAATCCGGGGTGCAAAACTTGGGGTTGCAGGTGGTGTCTGAATTCGAAGGCGTGGTCAACATCCTAGCGTTTACCGGCGAATTCCACGCTAATCATCCAAGTCTACCTAGGTGAACCATCGCAGTGCAAAGTTGAAGTCGCGAAAGGAAGCAAACTCCGGTGGACCAAACAACACCAGTATCACGTTTGCACTGTTTATGTGCGGGTGGGTGTCGACTCCCACACCAGTCTGCAAGGGGTCACCGTGACCGTGGAAGACACGATATCACTCACCTAGATATTCCTACCCGACAACATACACCTCATTGGGTTGAAGTGCACCCCTGAGAAGTTATCAGAACAAGAAGACAAAGTCATCAATATCCCTCGCAATGGCAAAATACTCTTCATGATTATGTCTACGAGTTATGATAATGTCAAATATTTAGGTGTGTATATAGAAAAGTGGAAGGAGAGTATGGAAAGGTTTTTAAAGTCCGCTCCACAAAGGAGCACTATCACCAATTTCAGTCTATGTCAAACTTGTTGCCATGGAAATGCCAAAAATATCTTATTCAGAATTCCAAAACTACCAAAAGGCACCAGTACACCACCAGATCTATCTATGTGCCAAGTTTGGTGAAGAAATAGTGAACGGTTTAAGAGCACTACCACCAATTTCTAGTTAAGTCAAAACTTGTTGCCATGGAAACGCCAAAAATATTTTATTCAGAATTCCAAAACTACCAAAAGGCACCAGTACACCACCAGATCTATCAATGTGCCACGTTTGGTGAAGAAATTTTGAACCGTTTTAGAGTTCAGCTCCGGAAAAGAGCACTACCACTAATTTCAGTCTAAGTCAAACTTTTTGCCATGGAAACGCCAAAAATGTTTTATTCAGAATTCCAAAATTACCTAAAGGCAGCAGTACACCACCAGACCTATCTATGTGCCAAGTTTGGTGAAGAAATATTGAACGGTTTTAGAGTTCTGCTCCGGAAAAACAAATGTGCACGGACGGACGGACGCACGCACGGACGGAGTCCGTTGCGGCGGATAAAAAGTGCTGTCTTTCGCGCACAGCGCTCATTTTTATGCCCAATATCTTTTGTTTCATATCACTTAGAAACTTGGTTTTAGTGACAAAGACAATTTCTTATTTGATGCTAAAATGTATGAGGAAAACAGTGATACATTTGTAGCAGCTGAATATGAAATATACGTGATGTAATAGGCGTCTCAATACCGGCCTTCGCGAAACGTGATTTTGTAAACACTGTCCAATGCAATATTGCAGAAAGCGCACTTAGGAGTTCGTGTTTGTGTATTTTCCAACATATCCCAACCGTAAAGACACTAAATTCACCGCAGCAGGGATAAAAGCGTCAGTTGACTTGTTTGGAACATTTCAGCAGGTGCCTGCTACTAAACTATTCTCCTCTAGTAATTAAGAGTGACCGCGCGCGCGGCCGGACATGATTACATCATTCTAAAATTGCCATGGTAACTGTCTTAGTCTTAGTCTTAGCTAAGATTTTGCTCAGACAGTTTCATGATCCAGTCTTATCTAAAATCTTAGCTAAGCCAATTTTTTAGACTTCAGATTTTTTTGTGCTAAGCAAATTTTAGACTTAAGATTTGTTCATGATCCCGGGGCCAGGGGGTTCAACAAGCCCGACAAGCCTTCATAGGAGATTCACGTTAAATTGTTGCGCTCAGATCAAACATAAGCGAGTGACAGTGGCCGAAGAACCAGAGGTATTGATCATGCCCCACAACCCACTATGTTTCTCGAGGCCCTCCACAGGTAAAGTCAACATTCCAGGGGCCCATAATAGTCACGTGGAGGGAAGTCATAAGGGTCCAACAAAGGCTTCACTGGGTAAAAGAAGCTAATGTCATACTTGGTCCGGACTTGGCCCAAAACCCCTGTTCCCTATACTACTTAATATGCTTTGCATTCAGGCACCATGTCTCCAAGACTTGCGATTAAATCCCCAAAAGTATCATGGAGAAGAACAGCATGATGGATGCTCAGTACTACTTCCAAGTACGATTTACTTCTTTGCTTATTTGTCAATTTTGTATAATATTCTTCATGGACACTAACCACTTCTGATCTGAACCAACCCATATTTGGTATTGATTCTGGCTAATGTGTACGTTGTGTATGACCCATGAAGATCTTCAGAAACCAATGCTTGTCGTAAGAGGCGACTAACAGGATCGGGTGGTCAGCCTCACTGACGTGCTTGACACATGTCATCGTGTCCCAGTTGCGTAGACGGATGCTCATGATGTTGATGACTGGATTGTCTGGCCCAGACTTCATCATTTACAGACCACTGCCGTATAGCTCGAATATTGCTGAATGCAGTGTTAAACAACAAACGAACCAACTGAACACGGGGGCACTCTGTGAAGTCAGGACAATAAAATATTCACCTGTACTTTTGTTTGGTACCTCTTCAAGCAATCAATGGCAAGTTCATGCAGTGCCTCTTTGTCTAGCAACTCCACTGCTCTGTTGTACAATCCGAGCTCCTCATAGCACTCACTGGTATCAGCATGTTTCCCAGACCTCTGGAACAGCCTGGCTGCCTCTTGGAACTTCTTCATTTTCTGGAACAACTTTGCTGCCAGCTCAAATTCACGTGCATTCTGTAGACATGTTGCAGCTTTAATGACATCTCCGCAGTGTAGGAACTTATGAGCAGCACACACAAACTCTTCCCTCATTTTCCGAGGGGTGTCTTTCAGCTTGAGTGCCCCCTGTGCCTGACAGTGAGCAAGGGCTAGCTGTTCCTTGTTGTCGTCCCCACCCATACGGTAACAGCAGGCAGCGACCTCATACAGGGCCTGGCTCATCATCTCATCTCCTCTCTTCACCCAGTCCTCAGGGGCTGACTTCATAGCAAACACCATGTGGGTAAACTCTGTCAAATGAAGCCCAACGTAAGTAAATTGAGGTTGAAATGTAGACTAGATGTTAACTGTAGAACAGGCCATATTTATTGACCACAGTTTCCTTAATCTAATATAGAGAATCAATATACACCACTGGACAGTTTAAAATAAAGCAATCACTAGAGAAAGAACAGCTGACCATCAGCGAAGTACCTATCAGGCTATCAACCACACTCATTAAGTTACAACATTTCTGTTGTTCTGAATAACAAAGTTACAAGAGACAAATGTGATAATCTATCTGTTTTGTAATCTGTACTGTTTGTATTTGGCAAAACAAGATTTCCATTTCCACTGAAGTAAATATTCAGTGACATGTCACAACCTTAACCATTAATAATTCACAGATTGCAGAATGCTATGTGAATGGACTCTTTGACAAACTGTTCAAACTGACAAACTTCATTCTCTCCATGATTAAAACTTTGAATATATGAATGCACATAAACCACAATCAATCATCAAATGTTTTCCTCAGGTAACAAAATTACAACATCAATAGTGATAAGTTTATGACGTTCAGAATTCGTCTTGGCAAATGCACTCAGAGTACTTAGTCGTGATACTCAACCTCATACAGGAGTCGAGTCAGTTTTGCCTCAACTTGAGCGGGCTTGGACACTGATGACGGATCAAATGTGTATTCATGTTAGTTGTATTTTCCGTGTATGAAATATGGACATTGCATGTCACACATACTGTTTTTTTAACAGAAAACTTTCAGCATCCCAACTTAAGAGTAAACTGGAAACATAAACTATGTCCAAACAGGAGACTTAAATTTCCAAGGCAGGTTCTAAAAAACACCTTCAGCAGTATCCATGATGCTACTTTGGGTATCTAGGTGAGTGTGCATTTGGATGTTTCTGATTGGCTATGGTCACTTGCATGGTCTGGCTTAATCCATCATATTTGGCGCAATGATTTACCTTAGGCAAAAGCTTTAAGCTAGCAATACTTGTTTTCATGGCAATGGTCTGATAGGGCCAAATAGATTATAAAGGAGCTTTAGTAACAATTTTGTAAATAAGACATTGATGCAGCATCTAAGTAATAATCACTATACATCAAAATATGAATTGATAATAAAACAAATGAATTGTATACAATATCGTACAGATCTTGCCGGCGATGCTTCGGTAAAGCGTGACATTACTAATAGGCACTGCCACTCACCAGAATTCCCATCCTCTGTCTGGGAGATACACCGGACCAGCTGCCTTGCCTTAAAGTATTCAAACATTGGAGCTCGTTTCTCCTCATCTTCATCAAAGATCCACACATTCACACGTGCTCTAGTCAAGGCTGTGTATAGGTACTTTAGTTCAGAGTTGAGAATTTTATGCTCATTAGCTTCAAATACAAGTGCTCTTGGTCGATTGGGCTGAGTCAGCATTCCTGGAATACACGTTTCTCAAAGATGTTATTCTAGTTAACTGATCCATGAAAATAATGTCAAAGGGCTTACCTTTCCAAAATGATCTTGGCAGGCACATCAGCCAAAAAATGCATTTAAAACTTTCATTTTTTTCAAATCCATATTTGCTAAAATTAAGATGTATCTACAAATGCATTGAATGCCATAATGTCAGGCATAAACTTGGGGCGAAGCATTATGGCTTCCTCCCATTAACTGGTCAGTTATCAATGAAATAAATGCAACAAAAATTAAGCAAAGTAAAAAATATCAACTATGTTTCAGGAATTGAGCACTTATTAAAGGTGAGAAAAAGGGCAATTGAATCAGGACAATTGCCCCCTGCTTTGATTGTCTATCTATGCACATCCTGAGAGCAAACTATGAAGCTGCAATATGGTACAACAGTCTGAAAGCTGAATATCCAACTTCACGGGCAACAGATGGTCATGGATGGGTGGAAGAAAATGATCAGATAGAGATTTGCTGGATTACAGAACCTCTTTGTTTCGGTTGCAGTTCTTGAGTTCATTTCTTGCAAGGACACAACAGTCTGCAAACTCCCAAGTTGTCAATTCCTTACCAATGGACTGAAATGCACTGTGACATGTCGGAACCAGACTTGTGACAACATGGTATGTGAGGACCATGACAGGCCGACGAGTGACTCTGATGATGAAGCTGATGTTTATGATGCGGAACAGTGACTATCACTAACCAATTTAAGGAATTTGAAGGTGCTCTCACTATTTGAAGTTAAAGAGCTGTCTTCAGAATAAATGAAATGATGAGTTTTCGAAAAAGTTCTTTGAGCTTATAATTTAGATGCTTAAAAATCAGGAAAAAATATGATTTAAAGGTATGAAATAACACAACTTGATATTAATTAAATCCTTTCAATCATGTTAGCACTATTTGTACCTCCCTATTTTCATTTCCAACCTATTTGCTAAACTTTACTCACAATTAAAGCTTGGACTTGACGTTTTTCTAAAATGTTGGGGTATTTGGCGGCCATATTGGATATAGCCTTGTTCTGAGTATAGCTACCAAACCGACATGGCCATCATACTTTTTTGATATGTAGAGACCATAACAACTTCAAAAAACATCAAAGTCTTTGGTCCCTCTGAGTGGTACTGAAAAATTGTCTGGCTCATGGCCTAATGAGTGGGTGAGTGAGTTTAAATCTTAAAGGTACTAGACAAATGCCCATATCTGTAGTGAGTTTCAGCTTTAGTTTTACACCACTTTCAGCAATAGTCCAGACATTGTCACCATGTGGGGAAACCAGAAATGGGCTTCACATACTGTATCCAAAGTATGAATTGAACCCACATGACCCACTAGGCTACCCCACCACACGCAGGAATTAGGAACTTGTAATTCAGTTTTTGAAAGTTTTACAGACATGTAGACATGTAGAAATCAACCTCTGATAAGTACAGATAAATCTGAGGGTTTTTTTAACTTTAAGAATGAATGTACTACAGTATCACAATGTTGCAGTATACAACAGTTAAAATTTACTTTGACTAACTCTGACTGACTGACTGAGTTTGGTTTTATGCTGCTTTTAGCAATATTCCAGCAACATCACGGCGGGGGACACCAGAAATGGACTTACTCTGAGCCTTCTCAGGCATGTCACAATTTTCAGCGCAATACATTACATTTTAAGAAGAAATGGCAGAGTGAACATTGCTTGGCCTATCAGCCTAAGGGGCGATGGTGTTGTCTAATGGTAGTGGTTAAAGCACTTGCTTGTCATGCTGTCATGCTGAAGGCCCGGGTTCACTTCCCTGCATGTGTACAATGTGTGAAGCCCATTTCTGGGGTCCTTAAAGGGGCATAAAGATGCACTCACTCACTCACTATGAAACTAGTTGCTGTGAAATATATTAACTTCTCGGACAAATTTTCATGTGTGATTATTTGCTTGTCAAGTGATTTACTAAGCCAAGAATGTGTTCTGAGAGAATCTAAGAGCATGGTCAAATGGCTAAATTATGTATAAACTTCAGTGAATGTCATGTCAAGTTCAAAATGTCTAAACAAAATAAATGCAGAACACAGGTATCCACTGCTAACCATTCTTGCATCAAACTTCATGATTGGAATCTCTTGGACAAATTTGAATTTTCAGCTCACTGGCTCGATAGTTCTTGAAAAACTTTACAGAAACACGTTGCTGGATATGCTGACCATAACAAAAGCCCACTTGAACTTTAGGGAGCTAAAACTTGAAGGGAATATATCTGAATGTCAGTATTTGTTTTCTTCAGCCGACTGTAAACTTCCACAAACCTCCGAAAAATATTCAATAAACAAGACTGGGAAACCACTATGCTTCATAATATCTAGATAACACTTGAAAATCTAAAAATATTTTTGAAATTTCTTTCAATGTATATACCTCAAAAACTTCTTTAAAAACCAAAAACACTTTTGATATTCCCATTAGAAAAATATCCAGAGATAGTTTTGAAGAACATTTACAAAAAAAGACATTCTTTAATGTGTTATAGATAAGTCTGACTTCAGGTGGGAATAAAAATGTATTTACCTGCATCAATAACATGAAGGTTTTCTGCTTGTTCTTCATAGTTGCGGCATGCAGCAAGTTTCTCTAGGAATGTGGTGACAACTCGCCATTCTTTTGTGGCCTACAACATTTATATCTGCTGTAAATTTTAACTATATGGTGTATATTTATAAACGTGACCTATCACACGTAGTGTACTCTCTGATGATTCAACAGGAAACAAAAATGTTTGTCCTCCCTTGATCTATTCACCCAAACACTCCCCTCTGCTCCCATTCATGTACAACCTCAGCTTCTGTGAAGCATGCTGTAGTGTTTCTGCTTATTGTCCGGTGTGGCCCGGGTTATGTTGTATTCTCCGGCTATTAAATAGCAGCAGAAATGTATTTGTTCCTGGACAGACAGAATGTCCCCTAAAGTAAAGTGTGGGATCTTTGACATTATGAGCCTTAAATGGGTACACACCTAGTGGTAACACCACATGAATGGCTACGATGATAATGTAATTTTTATGATAAAATTAATTTTTTATACTTATCCTGACCCATGATTATTTGCTTTCTCATCCTCTCTTCCGAACGGTCAAGTGGAAACTTGAATTCTTTCAATTCCCTTGAAGCGGACATACAATCACTCACCCTTCATTACCTCCCTTAGTTTCCCGCCAAAACCTGGCACGTGACCTTCCATGCCTTTGGTCCTCACTGTCTCCAAAATATGCCCCACTCAGGTCTACAGGGAAACCCGTGTGGTGAGAGGGGACGGTTGGGAGGGCTTCGCTTCATCTCATGAGTCAGGATAAGTATAAAATATTAATTTTATCATAAAAATTACATATTTTTCCTTATCCTGACTATTGATTATTTGCTTTCTAAATCCGACGGATAGGCGGTGGTTCAGCCACCTACAGGATTCCCTGCATGATTGTATTCACGTCAGCGTTCGCTCGATTTACCCCCTGGGCATTTTCTTCATCTGCGGCTAACTTCAATATTATCTTGATGTTAATTGGGGAACCACCTTCTTATACATTCGTATTAGAAGTAAACTTCTTAAGTTTTGTGGATTTAGTATACTTGACGTTGTGTTGTCTAGATATTCTGCAACGATCCAGTATGTTTACGGTAAGAACATTACCGAAACTGGTATCGCAACCTATCTGTTAAGGCAAGAACATTACCCTAACTGAGTCTATGTATCACTCATGCACTGTCTTATCTCGTAAAACAGGGGAATATGGACTCTCTGCCGGTGGCAATGGAACAGTTGCCTGGAGTAAACGAGTCTGCGTGACAATGTTGAGATTCTTCATCGTCTGGCCGGCATAGTGAGTTGCTGCGCTATGACTAGAGGTCCGAATTGATGTATACCAGATACATCTTCTGTGGAGATGTCTCTCAGGGAGTGGTTAGCGAAGACAGTGTCTGACTTCAAAAAGCAGCCTTCCATTATAGATGATACTGAGCAATTTCCATGTAGGGCGAGTGTCGAGGCCAATGCTCTTTTTTCATGTGGGTTAGATGCTCTTGGAGGTTCTAACCCTGCTGCTTTGTAGGCCCTTAAGATCACCGCTCTGATCCAAAAGGAGACCGTAGTACGGGACAGTTCTACCGTCGTAGCGGGTGATAGCGGGATAAATAGACGCTTGAACTTCCTCCTTCTCGTAGCAGATTTCTAGATGTCTAGTGGACCTCAAATTACACAAGTAATCTGCTACTTGTGGATTAGTCGCTCTTCTGGCCATGAACTTATGTTGAGCAGCATACTGTTCAAAACTTCTCCACTTGTCATCATATAGATTACGTGTAGATCTACGTAGAGCCAAGGTTACTGCCTTGGCTGCTCTAGTAGAGTATCCTTGACCCTTCAAGAAGTATGTGATATATTCCATATGTGTAGCTGGAATGCTTTTGGGTTGCCGTGTCGCTGCTTGGTGTGAGGATGGACGAGTAGATTCGGCCAGTCTGGGAGTCGTAGTACAGGTTCGCTTTGAAGATCTATGAGGTCTGGGAACCACAGTCTTGCTGGCCAGTAAGGCGTTACCAAAGTCAGTTGTAGGACCCTCGTCCGGCTGATCATGCGAAGTACTTGTGGTAACAGGATTGGTGGAGGGAAGACGTAAGCCTTCATCCCTTCCCATGATATGGCTAAGATGTCGACAGGCCATGCCAGCGGGTCTGGCACTGGCGAGACAAATGTTGTCACCTGATTGTTGAAGCGAGTTGCAAACAGATCTATGTGAGGACAGCCTAGTTGGGCTGTTATCCACTTGAACACCTCCGGATGTAACTTCCACTCTGCGGGAGATGGCCGGACTGGTCTGGATAGAGCGTCTGCTAAGATGTTCTTTGCCCCTGGGATGTGGCAAGCCCTCATCTTCAGGTTGATTTTGTCTGTGATGTCGAATAGCTGACACGTCAGTTGAAGCAGCGGCGCTGATCTTGAGGATCCTTGCAGATTTATGTAAAAGGCCACCACGGAGTTGTCTGTGTGTATCATCAGTACCTGATTCTTTAATTGCGCCGCCCAATGTAGTACTGCTTCTATTACTGCTTTCAGTTCTAGCTGATTGATGTGCAGACCCTTCTCTGTTTGTGACCACCGCCCTGCCATAACTTGGTCGTTGAGATGTGCCCCCCCCAACCACGTATAGATGTCTGTTGTAATTTGGCTCTCTCAAATAGGTTCCACCGCAAACATTCGACTTTATTGTCCACCAAGGCTTGCTTTAGATGTTGTGGGATGGCAAACTTCTGGACATCGTCTAGATGCGCTATCAGGAACCTTTGTAGCGGACGAAGTTGTAATCTTCCTCTGCGGGTGAGAGCCTGTCCCGTCCATAGACCCAAGATTCGCTGCCACGTTCTCAAGTCTAGTGGATTGTTGAGAGCGTCTGGTATGCACGACTGGATGCTCTGCCATCAGTCGTCTGGCACCAGGATGCGATTTCCTGACGTCAGGAATCTGATGCCTAAGAATTGTAGATCTTGGGTGGGTTCCAACTCCGACGTCTGATTCACCAGCCAGCCCAACTGTGTCAATAGGTTGATCGTAAACTGCAGTTGTAGTTTGAGTTGATCTGCATTTTGATGTGCCTGGATACCGTCGTCTAGGTAGAAGGCACTTCGTAAGCCCCTCTGATGGAGATAAGCGACAATCGATTTAGTTATTCGCGTAAATAACCAAGGGGCCGACGAAATTCCAAACGGCAGTACCATCCATTGGTAATGACGATCTTCGAATAGGAATCTCAGGTATTTCCATGATTCTGGATGTATTGGTAAATGTAGATAGGCATCTTGCAGATCTATGCTGGCCATGAAGTCGTTGGGTCAGATAAGATGTCTTAGCTGAGGTAGATGTAACATCTTGAACTTCTCTGGTTTCAACAGGTAATTCTTGTTGAAGCTCTTCATATTGAAGATTAGACGGAACTTCTCTTGGGAGTTGATCGACTACCTCTACAGCATCTTTACCACCAACATCTCGATAGCTTCAGTGCTTGTCTCGCTGTAGTTGAGGGTGCTTGAAGACCAACGGTTGATCTGTCAACGGTGGTGTCGACTGCAAGTGGATGCTGTAGCCCTCTCGTAAGACTTCTGTGACGTGATTGTCCTGTAGTATTTTCCAATTTTCCCAGTATAGGCCAAGACGTCCACACACGGATGACGGTTGTACCGGAACAGCTGGGGGTGGAAGCGACTCGTCTCTCCCGAACCTTCTCTTCAGTAACGGGATCTTCTGCCACCCCTGGAGATCCTTTCTCGGCCTGAGTAACTTCTGACATTACTGGGACGACGAGAAGACCCCGAGTTGCCACCACGTGAAGTCTTTTTCTCTTTGGCTCTCTGAATACCAGAGAAACGGGATCTTAGTTGACTACGCTGAGTTGATTGACGCACCATGGTGTTCATCGTCTGTACGGACTTGATCAACATCAAGTCTTTGGAGTCTTGAGATACTTCACGTGACAACTGCCGGATGCCGCCGTCAACAGGGTAGGCACTGCCCAAGGCTTCCTTAGTAAAGGCTTGGTGTAGACATCTGGCCACGTACTGGAACTCAACAACCCTTGCCGACGTAGAAGGGTGATGCCCGCCGATGTAGAAGCCAAGTGATCGGAGATAAACTCCTGATCTTTGCGCTGCACCACTAAAGTAGACTTGATCATATTTTCTTCTTCCGTCTAAGGATTCTTGAAGGCGTACATCAACGCCTCGTTAATGGATCTAGATCTCGCTAACCCGTAAAAGGCTCTACGGGTTGTCGTATCAAGTTGCGCCAGTCTCTTATCTTCTACCTTGTAACTGCGAGACTTCGAGTCAGTGACCAGATATAAATCTTCATCAACTTCTGGTGCCTTGTCGAACTGACTCATGTTGTGATGTCGGAATCGTCTAGGGTTAAACTACAGAGTATGTTGCCCCTGTGTCTTCGAGGCTTTCTCGAAGGCTGCTTTCAGGTTGTCTGATACCTGGGGAATGGGCTTCATTGGCGGGATAGTTATTGATTCGTAGTCGTCATCCTTCACACAGTACGTCTCAGCAGGATTAGCGTCTCTAGATGGGGACGATAACAAGAGACCATCAGCCACCCACGCCAGTACCTCAGCTTCAGTGAAGATGGCATCATCTTCTTCAGTATGCTGTACTTCATCTGCCAGGCCGTGATGTGAGATGTCTACTGCTGACGACGTCTAGCCTCATCTCCATCGCCTGCATCACCCTACGGGTGATTGTATCAGCAAAGTCTTCAGCGTTGACCATCGGATGCTGCTGCGGGATTACTGCAACTGTCTCGTCTGTCGGCCTAGTAGACGGGTCAGCGTTCGCAAACGCTAACGGGTTCCCCCCTGAATTTTGCTGTCTCTGGTTCTGCAACGGCTTCAATAGACTGCTTGCATGAAAGTGAGTAACTTTCTATAGTCCAACTGCATCACTGCTCTCGGTAGACTGCAACGATGACATCGGCGATGTCATGCTTCTAATCTGTGCTGACAGTATCTCAGGACTGGAAGATCTCTGCGACACTGAAAGGAAAATCTCCGGCTGCAACACTGGAGGACTGCCGAAGCTGGCACCATCTGCTTCAGCGCCAGGCACATCAATATCTGTTGATAGA